GGAAACGGATTGCAAATGGATATTCGAAGTCACCTCATTTTCCATATATGAAAAATCTAAAACATGACCGCATTGCATGCTAGTGGACCATGTCCCTTTAATTTTTGCTACCTGATATTTACACTTCCATTATTGACGTATCTGCGCAGAAATTCGTACAACGTGATAACCAGTAACAAGATGAAAGAAAACGCCACAGGGCTAATCCAAGATGGGAAGAAACGGAATGGAATGGACTCGAGCTCCTCGGCTGTTTTCAGGCTTCCTCGGTCAATAGGCTCAAAACCGATATCACGAACCAACTGGAATATTATCCTTCGTGCTTCAGCGTTGTTCGAGCACAGAGGGACCTAGTAAATTGATATTGATATAACCGGGATCAGTGTCTTACTGGAATTAGTATCCAAAAGATGTTGCAAATCCAGCATTCTGATTGGCTACTGAACTATGTTACTTAAATTTTATACCATGGTTCAATCGAAAGAAACAACAAAAGTCGAAAAAAGTGCTTTTATCGCCTCTTTTTTTCAAATTTGTCCTATAGTTTGTGGATACTAAAACAATCAGACTACTCGTGATGAGAACTACGGCCGAGTATGGCTCACGGATATCAACTCGTAGACCACTCGACCTCGCGGTCTCATTTTTAAGTATTCTGTTCTCTTTATCGTTGTAATAGCTTCATTCCTGTTTCATATATTAAAGAACATAATCATAAATTAGTATCCGGGCAATGGTATGGATGATAATGAATTAAGATGGATGATGGTCATAACAGTGTTAATAGACTTCCAATCGTGGTGAGGAACAGGACGCATGATGAATGTGTTTTCAGAAGTAATTATGTTGAAGCAAGCGGTAAGTACATCAGTCGCATATATTAATAGCAATGGAAGCGTTAAGCAGTGGTGATGGCATTGGCAATATGAATGTATTAGTAAATACTAGTTATCACAACACATGATAAAATGGTCGAGCAGTACCTGCTTACTCCCACCAAACGAATCAGATTCAAGTGCCCAGGCTGAGATTACGTTAAACGCTTTGACAACTTTACTTTCAGGTAGCAGACTGCCCAAATACTCGCCACTTGACTGAGCTCCTTTCTTGGAAGTTTGTGGATTGTTTACATCTACGACGATCTTCTGCTTTAGCATGTCTCGGTATTCATTCGCAAGCGCTTCGTAAGATTGGCGGTGAACAGCAAAGATAATGATATTTCCACGTTGTAGGGCTTCTTTGTTCTCGAGCAGTTCTACATGTTGAGGGATTACTTTGGCTTCAACGGTGCTTGGACTTCTCGAGCCAAGTACAACTTTGAATCCAAAGCGATGGAGCCTTGTCGCCAACGCCCTTCCAAAATCTCCTGTGCCCACGATGACAATAGGTTCTTTGCTCATGGACATAATGCTCGATTACTGAAACAACAAAGTTGAACTGGAACTGGAACAACAAAATTTTTTAGTCAAAGTCAAATGAATTGTGTTATTCTAGCTACTTGTACAAGGAAATTAATATTTAGTAGTACTCCCACCATACTGTGCAATTAAAAAATAATTAGACTCGAAAAGTTCCTTTTACTGTCAAATTGGGCTAGGCCTAGCGTCCTCGTCCAATTTTGTCAGTCCTTGGATTTTTCCTCGTCCAATGATTTCTTAATTGGACAGCATGGAGTCCTGTTACATATAATTACTGTATTGGTTTGCTTAGCATTCCTGATTCGTTTACAGGATATATATACACTACTTAGGTTTTCCTGTTCCGCCATGGTTTCCACAAAACGTGAAAATTAACATGTACAACCAATATTCCCTTACCCCACAAAACCTTTGCTATATTCCCTTAACCCACAAAACCTTTGCTAAGTACCTGGTAGTTAAAATTCAACAAAGGCTGCACTCTGAATTTGCCGACTGATCTAGCAACTGAGGCCTGCAAATGAACAGCACACCAACGCCTGGCAATGAATCAAAAGTGTGACCTTATATACTTCCTTCATTTTGATTTCTGGACGTTGACGTCAATGGGGGCCTTACTCCAAAAAATACAAAAACTAAAGTTTCAGTGGGGTCAATCGTCAAACAGACAAACGTTTTGCTGTTTATATATATCTATGTCACTCAATACTGTTTACACAGAGAAACTGCTATGAGAGAGCATGGAGAGTTGTTTCATGGAGTCCTCATGCAGTACATGTCGCTATACACCTGTACGAAGGACGGTCTTCAATGCAAACAGGTTTATGCCGGGACAACTGGATATAAATTCCTGCAACTGCTCAAAAATTCATATAAGGGTTTGTAAGTTACCGTGCTTGATACACAAAACAATGTCACTAATACTATTCTCGACCTTAAGACTATTTATTTCAATTTAAAATCAAATGAAGCCAGCCAAGCTGCTTATTATAGGAGCGATCTAAAACAAGGATCAATAGTCTATCATAACATTCTGTTTACTTAATCGGCATACTGCCAGAATCGATTTTAAAAGAGAGAGTGAAGTTACTAGGGGTTTATCTCAATGTCATCCGACAAAGAATGACTGTCAGTTAACAAAATTATTCCTGGGCTATGAGCC